AGAAGCAACGGAAACTGCGGGAGTATTTAGTTACCGTTCAGACTAGTATCATCATCATACCCGTAAGCAAGAGGTGGGGAACACCTCAGCTACTGTGCTGAAATACATAGAAAAAAGGGGAAAAAAAGCAACTGGTGCAAGCCGGCTGAGCTACCGGTAACGGATGGGCATCGTTCTGGTAAGCTACCAGCCGGCTACTTTGCTTCAAAAAAATTGCTATGCAAAATTATATAAGGCTAAATGATGAGGTTTTGGTTGGAAAGAGAGGCTAAGAGGGATGGTGTGGGACAAAGAGACTCACAGCACGAACGCCACTGAGGTCGGCTCCTTGACATGTCAGCAAGTGTGTCCAACAAAACGTGTTCATCACTTTCGAACCCCAACCAGGGAGCCGAGAAGCTCCAACCGAGGCCAGCTCAGAAGTGAGGGCCTTCATTCCTCTCGACCAGGTCACCTCTTGGCAACCCGTCCTTTTCATCCATCACACCCGGCGCGCAAACAACGCACATCGCGGGAGTCGGTGCGCTGGCATGCATAACACGTGGACGAGCCATCGGAGCCTGATGCGTGAAATAACGGTGCTGAGCGGTTCATTTCCTTTTCTGTGCCGTTAACAAGGCGTCCAACACGCTCGTTGCGCACGCGGTGTTCCCACCAGATGTGAGCTAAATTGCGAAGGCACCGATGGTCAGACGTAACTAGCCTCTTCAGGTCCGCTGCACTAAGTGGCCAGGTTTCACAACCGTACAATAGGGTCTAACGTACTGCTGCATTGTACACTCTAGCCTTCAGGGAAAGAGTAATGTCGCGCCGGCGCCATAAGTGGCGAAGGTCAGCATAAGCGCCTCGAGCTTTTGCTATACGGTTCGTGATCTCATCTTCAATCCCACGGGCGGTGATACAACTTCCCAGATAGTTGCATTTTTGAACGACTTCTAGCTGATCCCCACCAAGCGTCAGCGTAGGAGCCGGTCCAGACCAACGTTGGAGGAACGCTTTGCACTTCGAGGGTGCGAAGCAAAGCCCGAAGTAACGGACAGCCAATGCTAATCTGTCCAGTGCCGCTTGGCACGTTTGTGAGCTGTCACAGATTAGGGCAATATCATCAGCATACACCAAGTCGTTCTCCTGGGAGCAGATCCACACCTTCTAAGTCGTGTGCTGTGAACACCATTTCCATGACTTCATCCATAGCAAAGTTGAAGAGGAAAGGTGACAGCGCGCGTCTCTGTCTCACACCGCTAGAGATATTAAAGGGCGACGACAGCTTGCCGTAAGCCCTCACTCTGCCCGAGCTACCCGCATATAATGCTCGGATAATATTTATATATTTCTCAGGTAAGCCTTTCCTGAGTAGACAGTCTCAAAGTGCAAGTCTATCCACCGAATCGAACGCACCTTTGATATCGAGGAACACGACAAAGGTGGGCCGCCAATATATGTGACGGTGCTCCAACAACTGACGAAAGTGAAGATGTGGTCAATGCAGCCACGACCTCGAGGAAACCCGGCTTGCTCTTCACGGATATCGCTTTCAAGATTGCCAGTCAGTCTGTGAAGGATTATGGAGGTAAGCAATTTGGAGGCGATGGAGATCGGACTGATTCCTCTATGGCTGCCGCATTCCGAGCGCGAGCCGCCTTTGAAGATGGGAACAATAACGGAGCGGCTCCAGTCGGCTGGGACAGTTTCCTGCTCCCATAGTTTAACTAGCAATTCGTGTAAATTATCCACAAGAGCAGGTCCCCCGAATTTGAAGAGGGCTGGAGGAAAGTCATCAGGTTCCGCGGCTTTATTTAACTTCAACAGTCCGATCTCACGTTCGACTTCTGAGAGAGAGGGTGGATCCAAAGGGACAGCCCACGGAGCTGGGCGATCAGTGGCCGGCGAGAAATCTAATTCCGACCGATTAAATTGTCTTTCAAAGTGCTCAGCCAAACGCTCCAAGCGTTTTGACAAGTTGTGGATAGGCTGTCCACTTTCGTCACAAATTGCTTCACTAACACAAGGTCTTCTGCTGCCCGTTTCATGTATCAGTCGGAATAACTCACGATTGTTACCATGGGCAGCAGCCATTTCCATCTCTGATGCACGATGAGACCACCAAGATTCGCGGTCTCTCTTCAGGCTAGCACGGAGTTTTGCCCGGAGCTCTTTGCGAGTTTCATTGTGTTCGCTTCCAGCCGGAATATGCCGGCGAGCATCTATAAGTTTCAGAGACTGTGAAGATATCCAATGTCCATGTTGGCGATTAGACATACCACATGAGGATTTTCCTGCTGCAAGTAAGGTCTGGTGAATATGAGACCAGTGACCTTCAACTGAATCCAGTGAGCGTTCATCCAACTCGCATGACAGCGTACTTTGATAGGCATTCAGAAAAACTGGCTTCGCCAGTTCGCCAGCTGTCTGGTGTCAATGCGGTCACAACGACGTGGTGGGCGTCCGACAAAGCTCATCCGCATATCAGCACATACAAGTGCATTGTCGGTGTCCACACCTGTGCTCCAAACCGAGCGACAGTTCTGGATGCAGTCTGTCCAGCGGTAACTGATTGCAATGTGATCGATTTGCGTCCAAGGTTGGTGGGCGCCAAGTCACCCTCCGGCGGGTGTTGTGTCGGAAATTAGTGCTCGCAAGAAATAAGCGAGCATCCTCACACAAACGAAGTAACCGCTCACCGTTATCATTACGGGAGCCTACACCATGTTGGCCGCCCAGATGCAGCTCATCAGTCGATAATTTTCCAACTTAAGCATTCAGATCCCCGGTCAGCACTAGTGTCCGAGCTTCTTCTGTGGCGAAAGAGCTCGTTCAGTTGACGACAGAAGTCGTCTTTAACCGAGTCATCGCTACAGTTTGTCGGGGCATAGGCAGCGATAACGAATAGACACCTGTTAGTCCCACGCGACTTCCAAGCTTTGAAAGAGCCAGCCAATCGGACTGCACACATCCGGCTACTGATTGGAATCTAATCAACCAGAGCAGTTTCAACCCGGGGACTCAGGGCTATACCAACACCGGCTTGGCCGGTGCTCGAAGCTGCATCGTCACCGGATAGGCGCAATGGGAAAGTGCTGCTAGTGTCACCTGAAGGGGATCGCAGAGTGAATACAGAGCTCGAGTCTTGCAGGCCGGTCTCCGATAAGCAGCAGATATCGATCGAGAGGGTCTTTAATGTTCGGGCAAGTACTACCTGTTGACCGATCTGAAGCAATGTGCGAACGTTGAGGCATGCCAATCTGAAGGAGGATCGAGGGCTCCAAATGGAATCCGATGAACTGGGCTTGACCGCTTGGTTGAACATAGGCCTGTTGACAGGGCAGGAATGACGCTCCGCGTTCACATGTGAGTTGAAACTAAAAGACAAGCGACTATTGAAGCAAGGTGGGGGAGGGCCGAGAATTGGGGGGCTGAAAACAGGGGGGATAAAAGTGACGCTGGAACGGGACGATAAGGGTGAAAAAGTGTAAGAGAGGGAATAAGAAGACGGGAAGGCTTGAGCAGTAGCATCCAAACCCCTATCCACCCTGCTCGATGCAGCAGATAGGGCACCGTTGATTATCCTCTGCGGTGGCCAGAACATCAGAAATTTGTTTGAAGTGCGATTCATTGTATTGCGTGGGCAGGATACTGTCAAGTTGCCCAGGCCTGGACAGGAGAACGATTAGGGTTCTCAACCAAAGCTTTTGGTTCAAAAACCTGTCCGCAAGGCAGCGGGTTTGGCACTGGACTACAAGGAGTCCGTTTTAAGGAATAAGGTGCCACTCTCATTCCAACCCCTAACCTGGAGGACCAGGAGGCTGAGTTTGTCTGGCCTCTAACCATTGATCAATCTGGTATGAGTGACTGTGAAGGTGCAAAAATGCACCACCCAGTATAGCTTAATGGATCACTGAGGCACACAAACCATCGCACCACGGTAAGGTCCAGCCTCAATGCGATGGGTTCAGACTAGCAAAAGCATAGTTGTGTTAAAATCGTTTCATCACACTTGCATAAGGCGTGGTCTGTTCACGGAATAGATAAAAGAATTATCTAAACAGAGGCAATGCGAAGCTTATTAACTAGCGGATATCTGAAGCGATTGAAGAAACATCAGCTAGATGTCTTAAACTACACCCAAGGCAAGCCACAGAGTGGATGGCAGCAAAAGGAATTCCGTACGAGGAAGGAATTTCGGGTGGTGTTGGTAAAAAATACCACGATAGTTGTGCAAAGCGGAGTCTATGGTCAACGTTGAAGCATTTGAAAGATCCCTTTATTTAGATAGAACAACTAAATGTACTTACAAAATCTCGTGTAAAGGTGGCGCACATGTGTACATAGGATACATGGTGGCAGAACTGAGCACGAGAATTTCAAGACATTGATGATGGATATCACAATCAGCCTGCAACGAGCTTGAGTACAGAGCTCTGCAACGAAATTCGGCGGTAGCGGAATATGGGGTAGACGCAGGTCATGTAACTAATATGGAAAATGTTAGGATAATCAGGGGGGATTACAGTCGGTCCTTCTAAGGCCAATTGCTGAAGCGGTGGGAAACACCAAAGCGTGCATAAAATAGATGGAGTAGAGCCGCCAAATACATGACACGCAGACTTACTCTGGCCAGTTTTAGGAGGTTCAGCCGATGGGCCAAGACTTTAGATGGACTTCTAACACCACATCCATCCCCAAAATCTGACACATCGACGCAACTTTCTACAAGTCGTCTGATCAATTATCCTTCCCCAGACCCTTGACATCATAATCTGACCCAACCGTGTAACTGCCTTTGACTGGCAACTTCTTATCATGAATTTCGCCCACAGTTGCCCTTAAATGTCCCATATACTTAAGTTGGTCCACTTGGCCTGAGGGCCATCTCTCAAAAGCGAAAGCTGTCCAGCGGTTAGTCAAAGCCCCTCTGAAAGGTGTCATATGTGTACGTTATGGAAACTCAGACGCTCCATAAGTCATACTTGAAGTTGCGTAGCTATGAGGTTACAGAAGGAAACACCTCAAATGGTTTAGCGAAGCATCAAGATGATAACAGCCAAAATACATAAATAAATTGATGGAAAAAATCGTTGGGTAGATGCGTGTTATTAGCCTGGATAGGACACACGGAGTCGGTCAGAGGAATTGCCGAAATAGCAGTGGTTATGTGAATTGTAAACAGATTAAATCAGTGAATCCACATTTCCCTCTTTGTACTAGGAAAAAACACAATAGTTAGGCCAGATGAAAAGTGTACAGGCTAAAGCGAGCCAATGTAGGGTTATCAAGTAAACGAATTAACGATGCAGAAACTCAGAAACAGTGAAGGAAGAGGTCGTCATTAAGTGATCCACGGTTTGGAAAACGTTGGAAAGTTTGGCAGAAAGCAAGCATACTTAAGAAAGAAGCGGTGTTATTGCCAGTGAAAGAGAATGGGGGTAAGAACAACAACACGTGCTGCAGGGAACGACGAATGGGTAGAAAAATAAAAGTGATGGCTTCAATGAAAGGCCGGGGAAGTTGGTTGAAGCAAATTGCTGAGGATCCTAACACAGTACTCTGCTGTGTATACACAAGCTCACAGAGATCAGCTGCCATCAATGGGATACTTGCCAAGCAAATGAGTCACGCGGATTCAGGGAGTGTAATGGGAGTCTTCACTTCGGCTTCTGTCCCCGTGACCACAGGTTTGAGTTTATTTGAGGAGCCTGCAGTTTTCTGACCCGGTTTCCTTTTTTGATTGCGGAGCGCTTGCACCTTGGCTTGAGCTCTTTGAGCAGCAGCTTCACGCGACGCCTCACGGGCTGCAAATGAAAATGGGTATCCACATTCCACAATCAAGGATGAGCTCAGAGAGCAAAAGTAATGATTAAGCCAACAAAAGTTTTATCATTCTACAGAAAAAAGCGGTTGGTAAGGAGACGCTGCACAAACGAAATTCACATGGGAATTAATAGGTGATATAGCTTAGAAATCTGTGGTTTACCGAGCATCGAAGTTACTAACCCCATCAGTGCAGTTAGTCCGTTGCCATCTGATAAGCGATGCAAGTGTAAATTAAAAACACCTTGAATGGAGTCGTCGTGAGAATAAGTGCGACGAGCAACCTCGACCCGAACTGCGATTCGCTTTGAACTGAACCGCAGTCAATTCGGTTTCCGAGGCCGTAAAAGAAGGTGATAAACATAGTGTTCCTCACTCGCCGCTTATCCCCGATGGTTTTGATCAAGGATTCGCAAGGGCAAAGTCGCGCGTCCTTTGCCCATAGGGGACGATTCTCGGAAGGAAGACACTGCAGACCAATGCATTTACGGATGTGTAATGGTTGTCAAACTGTGACGGATCTGCTTTGAAAATGTAATCAAGATTCCCTTTTTAGAACGCAATGGAGTCGAAGAGTAGAAGTGATATGTCGTGTTGTATGGTTCAGTCATGACCGCATCTGTTATATCACCCATGACTGAGAGGATTAAGTAGTTGCCTTGAAATGAAATGGCCATCGGCTCGGAGGGATGCGCGATGCTTATGGGTTCCAATAAGACGAAACGGAAGTGTAACACATTTTTACGTGTGGTGACTGAAGGAGCCAAAGTGGGACACAGCCGTTTGAGAACTAAATAGTCCCACTGAAACCGGAGGTATCCTATGACGTGGAACAAATTATACCACCCCCATAAAACAAGGTTGTACTGAAAGCCGCCGAATTTCGAAACACACGAGTACGTTTGCAACTTGAACGGAGTAAAACAGTGAAACTATTTAGCACTGGACGAGTCCCACTTGCTAATATTTCTCAGCGTTTTAGTGCAGGTAACGAAGTTCGTGGGGACGCAGTCTCTGGTAACGCATTGAATACAATAGGACTTGAATGGTGTATTATCTACCTACGTTAAATACGTTCTCGTGGGCCATAGTGGACTAATCGGTAGCGAGAACGTCGATGCTTCAATGTTATTGTGGTGACAGTTTGTTGGACGAACTCTCACTTTGCAGGTGGCACGGCGGGTGGCTAACTTCACAAAGTAATTAAACGAAAGACAATGTAACTCACCATTCATTGTTTGGAAGACGATAGGGTTGTGGTCATAACGAAAAGGAAAATTATATCAACCAATTGAGGCCTGCGTGTTTCTCACTATGTTAGTAGGCATGCGCGAACCGGGCGATTCCTGAACCCATGGGAAAAAGATTTTCGTCGCTGCGTTACTTTTAAATAGACCGTGACGTTTGCCTGTGCTTGTACAGAGGCCGTTGTGGAATAACAGCAGCTTGTTTTTCAGTAAATGGTTATTGTTTGTCATGCGTCTTCCAACTCGGAGTTGACATTGCGCAGGGCAGGTAAGTTTAATATCTGGTGTGATTGCGTGTGCGTATTCACTGCGTTGATCCGAGGGCTAGTGTACGCGAATCGCCATCATCTCTATTGTTTACCCGTACAGTCCTCACTGGGACAGAGAATGTCAAGTGGGTTTCGCGAAGAAATTAAGTATTAGGAAACAATTAAGTCACGAACTGATTAGAAATGGTGCTGGTAAAACACAGAGTACTCAAGTGTCTGCAGTTTCTGTGTTGACAATTGCATCGAATACGCAAGGCAGCTAGCAAAGCAAGTGTTCACCGACGTAGAAAGATGTGCAGGGTTACAAATTTTTTGCTACTGGCCTTGTGGTTGATGAAAATACCAGGTGAACGACGAATGTGGATGAAAGTGTGCTTCCTGAACAAAGGGTTTCGATCGGTCGGTCCGGATAGCACCAGGGTAATTGCTATCCATTCTATTTTGTATACTATCCCCAATAAGTGAATCATACTACCGTGAAGAACAAGCTGTATTCCATCCCAAGCGTGAATGCGTGGATCAAATTTTCATGCTCCCCCAACTCCTCGAACACCACCACATTTATCACAGGCTAACTATCGTTGCATTCCTAAACATACGGGTTGCATTTGACTCGGTTGGTCAACCCGCCTTACAGCGTTTCTTGCTAAAGAACAGGATCATAGAGGAGCACACCGCCACCCTATCTGTACTTAATCTTCATATCTCCGGCAGGGTTAGGGTCTACGGTAAACTTTCCTAGCCCTTCGCTGTCAATAGCGGTGTGTGACAAGTCTACCCAATGTCCCCATTCCTCTTCAATTTTGCAATCGAAGACATGTCGAGAAATAAAGGTTGCTAAAGTTTTAGCCTAGAGCTTTTACGGGTGAGAGCGTACCCGAGTTAGACTATGCTGGTGATATCGCCTTACTTGGAGACGATCCACAAAGTATGCAACTTATGCTAAATCATTTGGCGGTTGAAGCATCTAAGCTTCGCCCCGTCGAAATCTAAAGTGCTGCACCAGGGTAGGGCCACCCCCACTCCCCTTTGAAGATACACAATTTCATCAGGTAGGTAGTTTCGTCCGCCTTGGGAACTGTATTTCTGCTAACGGCATTATCGACAAGGAAGTTTCTCGTCTCATCCCTGTGGAAAGCGAATCAATGAAACCTAGGCTGGTATCCGCCCTGGGCGTGGTTCTATCCACCATACATTTAATATTCGCCAAGTTTTAGAACAGATAAACATACAGATGACCAACTATGGTGGCTTTAATTGACTTTAAAGTCGCCTTAGAATCTGCTGACCGCGACAGCTTATGGCACTGCTTATTCATGAAGGGCGTGCCAGTTAAACTCCTTTCTGAAGTCCCTCTATCATGATTCCCAAGACGGGACACTGTCTCCACAGTTCCCCACAACAAGCCAAGTTCACCAGGGTTGTACTATATCTCCTTTCCTCCTCAACTTGCGATCGAAATGATCATGAATGACTCGGTTCTTATAGACTATGCTGAAATAAAAGTGAAACTAAAATAACAAGGTGACTGACTGACAAACCTGGAGTTTGCGGACGACACAGATCTCCTTGAGTCTGACGCAGTGGTTATGCAAGCACTATAGATTAGACTGGCGCGCAGCACTGCATGCATCGACATGTACTCTGCACATTCAAAGTGTAAAGTACTGTTGCAAAACCGGACCGACATACTTACCGAACAGCCATTAGAGATGGTGGATCGGTTCACTTACCTTGGTAGCTGTGTCACATTTAGTGGTCACATCAATGAAGTTAGTTCGCATATCAGCAAGTCCCGTGTGGCTTTCCAGAGAGGCAACTCTCTATGGAGATGGCGGAATATCAGCTTGTCAGTGTACAGTAGGGTATGTAACACTGCGGTAAGTCCTGTGTTACTGGATGCATCAGAGACCTGACCAATTTGCAGTGAAGACATTAAACGCTTGGCAATGTCTGACCACCGGTGATTGAGGAGTTTTACTTACTTATTCTGGAAACAGCGGGTGGGTAATGCTGAGGTCCACCATTTGGTTTTTGGCAAGAAGCCTGCTGGTGCCTCACTCGGTGTTTGCTAAATCTCATTCGCTTGCTTTGGTTAGGCCATGTCCTCCGTATGCTCATTGAGCAGCTTCCTCAGCCTGGATGATACACCGTGGCTGCACCAAGTTGGGCAAAACGGCGAGGTGACCAGTCCATGACATGGCAGAGATGCATGGAGAAAGTGACTAAGAGACTTGGTCAGACTAGTGCGTGCGTGGGGCATCGGGATGGTCTACACCAATGATTGGAGACCGTGTCCGACATGGCGCAGTCACGAAGCCAATGATGTTCCTGCATTCGGTTTCTTTCATTTGATTGATAATTTGTGCTCCATTCCGATTAGTCTAACGCAAGACCTTGCTTCCATTTTCTCTACATGTTATTTGCACTGAACTCCACTATCTAACCATTATTATTTTGTTATTCTGGCGAAGTGAGTCGTTGCAACTGGATCCACGGCACCTCAGTGCACGAACCATAGTTGTTTAACTAAACTCCACCGGAGATCCGCTTCATAAGAGCAATTTGGAGTCATGTAGTGAGATCCAATCCGACTGTAACTCACAACCACATTGGTCCATTTTGCGAACTTACCGGTTCCCATTGACTAAGCCGCATCCTTTCCGGTTGTTCCCATGTGTGATGTCATTGCGAGTCGGACCATACGAGCGGTTGGTAAGCAGTGTCTCGTGTGAACATATGGAGAACCGTCGAATTGCACGATGAAGTAACCCTGATACCGTTGTTCGTTTGATAACACGGCAGGTAGCCATATATATATATATATATATATATATATATATATATATATATATATATATATATATATATATATGGCTACCTGCCGTGTTATCAAACGAACAACGCCTGTCACTGTGACGGAAACGGGGACAGTCACAGGAAGCTTGCGCCTACAGAGGAATCATGGGTTGCTTGATAAGCACCACTCACAGCTCCAACCACACACCACATATCCAGTGTGAACACGAAGAAATAAGACCAGGAGACATGTGAATGGGAGTCACGTTTCATCAACGGAGCCGGCCCACACTCCTTCACAGGAAAAGACAAACACGCTGTATTTAGAGAATCAAGCGCACACAAGGCGGTGGCTGGACCGTAGTCCGCTCCAAACAAAATTCTGTGAATGGAACCACGCTTCGAGACTAGCACGGCCACGAGGACCGTGCACCTGTCCCCTACAGCAACGACCGACTGTCTCCTGGACCCAGTATGGACGAGGTAGTGGGTAATAGAGAGGTAGGCACCTTGGCAACATGCACATCAAGCACGGCCACATCGGGGATATCACGCGGCAGCCAATCTCATGAAATGAAATAACCAATAAAATAAGTCGAAAACACTATACGGATACGCCGCTAAATTAGCATATAATATAAATGGTTCATAAATGTGACCGCGATA